ACGAGGTTGAAGGGGATAATAATAATTTATACCAGCAAGAATTCTTAAACTCAACTGCACAAGGTAGTTTGCCACCACATATTCGAAATCTAGATCCTAGATATGGGCTGTGTAATGGGACGCGATTATTATGTCGTGGGTTATATATGAATATGTTGGATGTGGAAATCTTGACAAGAAACAACGCAAGAAGACGAGCTTTCTTGCCCAGAATTAAAATAAAAACATCGGTCAGTGATGGGTTACCTTTTGTCCTTAGTAGAAAGCAGTTTCCTGTGCAACTAAGTTTTACAATTACAATAAATAAGTCACAAGGACAAACCATTCCAAATGTTGGAATATATCTTCCACGACATGTTTTCAGTCGTGGACAGTTATATATGGTTTTATCCAGAGGTGTTTCACAGACTACAACAAAAGTTTTATCCAAGGAAGGAAAATTGGAAAGAGAAGATGGTGACTACACAAAAGATGTAGTCTTTAAACAAATTCTTTTATCGCACCCGCAGGTATCATTATGTACATTAAAAAAATAATCTCACACATTGATTCCCATTTTAGTTACATAAAATACCAATATTATATTGTATTCTTTATATGATAACTAAGTATAAAATTGTGTGGCTTTGATATACAGCCAAACTAGAACACAATGAAGTCTTCCAATTATGTAAGGAGCTGAGACGGAAGAATGTTGAAACTTGCTTCGACATAAAAGTAAGTTATACTTAATCATTTATTTTATCTTTTAATTATAATCAATCAATTGGATCATACTTATTCTCACTATTCTTATACGAAATATATTTTAGATGGGGGACTTTAAAGTTAAATGGAACACATGAAAAGATGAACAAACAATTTCATCTATCGGCAAACTAGACAATAAGGCGTGTTTACCTTTTTTGCAACATGTATAAAAAAATCTGTTTGTTGCATTTTCACCACTCTTTCACTAACACTTTTATCATTCTTATAAAACAGGTCAAGCATCTAAAAGTTTACTTTGTCGGTTGGGGCTCCACAGTAATAACAGATAAGACACAACTTTGGAAAATGGTGAAAAAAGAAATAATATCTCAAAGGATGGACATGTTTTTATTTTATTCATTTAATAATATTTATCCATAGAATATTTTTGAATGCATGAATTTTACTTATATTATTGGTTTGTGTAAATAAAACCATGTATATTCACTGAACCCATTCTTTTCTTTTTTTATCAGAAATCCACGTAATCTAAAAATAAGTTAGGGTTGTTGTTTTGCCAAATCTGAACTAAAATAAAGTATCTTCATTCTTCAGTTATACATTTATTTATGGCTCAGTATACCATAATCAAACAAGTCACGTGTTTTAAATGTATTTCTTTTTTGATATGACATTTCATGATGTATTTGTAGTTTATTAAAGCTCAAGAGCGCATCGACAAAGGAATGTATGAAGAATTTATTTGAATCTTTACAAGGTAGAAAAATAATATTACACTAATTATTATTACTTTCACTATATTTTTCTCTAAAGCAATTATAATGTGAGAGTCTTACATTTTTATACTACGGAAAACAATTGTAGGGAGAGAGAAAATTCTCAAGATAAAGATTTTATGTTCGGCCTTCCTCTTAAAGAACGTTTTTTATTACACATTATAAATAGTACTTTGTATTCTTCAGTTATTTAATATAATTTAGAATAACTTTGTTTATCATTTTCAAAATGTAATAATATTATTAGAATGTTTAGACAACATATTTTTTTTATCTAAATTTTATTTAATTTGATATATAATTCTCACCGTAACACGAATCTTCTTCGACCCAAGACTCATACCAACGTGTACGTCATCAGTGTACCACTAGCTCTTTCCCTTTGCTAAAACTTTTACCCTTGTCGAAAATCATAGCTAACAATTAGGTAGCATTTATGTGTTGCTAGATACCACCCACTGTTTATCATATTAAATGCGTGATTTAGTATAATTCTCAATGTCACGAGAACCTACAGAGTCACATACATAAGAGAGGTCGATGAGAACTAAAACGAATAAGTGAAATAAGGAACATAATAAGGTACGATGTACTTAAAATAATTACGGAACACCGTAAGGTACGTTGCAATTAAGTGAGTTATAAAACATCGTAAGGTACAATGCACTTAAATGGAATATAAAATACCGTAAGATATCGTGCACTTAAATGGAATATATTACACCACAAGGTACGATGCACTTAAGTGGACTTTTTTCAGCTTGCATCCCATACAAGTGGTTCTATAAATAGAACTCTTGTGCATAAGCTTTTTCACTTGATGATATTCGGTTTTGAACCCTAGCCATATTCCCCCCCCCCCCCCCTCTCTCTCTCTCTCTCTCTCTCTTAAGGTTTTCATTTGTAGCAGCTAGCACTAAGATTGAAGGCACTATGTTCGCGTGGACATAGTGGATGCGGTGTTCTTCATTCAATGCTTGTGATCCTTCATTCAATGTTTGTGATCCTTCATTCAATTCTGCATCAAAGGTTTTAATTTCCACAAGATGTAACTGTTTCTATCATTGATCATGCTCACTCGTAAGGATCTACTTAAGATAATTTTTGTTTTTCGCTGTATTTATATTGTGATTTCCCTTCATATCCTCAAAGCATGATGTTTGGTCCCTTTGAAATAAAAGTAAGTCCCCACATGATCTACTTGTTATCAAATTAGCTGTTGTGTACACTATTTCCTCAATGTGGCAGGTTCGAAATTGGACAAGGTTTTATAACAAGTCTATTTATACACACACATATATTTCCAACATAATTGCTTTTATTAGGTTGATTTCCAATAATTCTTCACTCTTCTCCTCCACTTTCATGATGGATTTTATCTTGTCAAAATCTTTCAAGGTTGACATTCATCGTCACACAAGGCCCCTATAGTGAAAGAAATCAGTTGGCAACCCCCCCCCCCCCCCCCCCATTTGAATTGGCTTAAGTGCAACTGTGACAAATATTTTGACTCTCGATCTAGTAGGAGTGGTGGAATCTTTAGAGATACTAGAAGTAACTTCATTTTAGGTTTTGCAAATTCAACTACTACTAATTCCTTGCATGCAGAGTTCTTTGTAATTTTTAGAGCCATTGAAATTGCTAGGAAAAGAGCATGTACTTAAGTTTTGAATTGAGAATGATTCTCGGTTCAAGTTTTTTCAAAGGATGCATTAGTTCCTTGAAGACTTAAAAATAGATGATTTCACTATAAAAAGACCATTGCCATGTCATTTGTCATTACTCATATTTCTAGGAAGGGACACTCTATTGGTTTTATTTTATTTTTTTGCTATTCTAAGTTGCAGTTCTTGCTCTCTAACTCCTTTTGATTCAATCCCCTTAACCATTAGAATTGATTTTCTAAAGAATAGACCGTCATTACTCATATTTATATTCTCTTGTTAAATAATTAATTAATAATACTAATTGAAATTGTTAGATTATTTATTAAATATTATTAATAAAATTTTAGAGGAAGAATTTAATGGGAGAACATGTAGATTATAATTTAATATGACGATATGATGATGTATTGTTTATTACACGAGATTAATTATTATACATTGTCAGGGCACGATCAATTCATCACCATCATTTATTTATACTATTTTATATGTAATTAAAATACAAGTCAAACTTATTCTAACATCCGTCGTTTATAATTAATTAACGGTGTAATATACAAATATTTTTATTCAAATATTTTTATCACACAATTAAATGTTTATTACTTTTTTTATTCAAATATTTTTATTTAATTCCATTAAAAGTTCTGATAATTATAATCAATAAATATATTTTAATAAACAAAACAAAATTCTATTTAATATTATAGTCAACTTAATTAATCATTATTTTAAAAATAGTGCAAAACATAAAAGGAACTATCATTGATTTTATTGGACCACATTAGATTTTCACTAATTAATAAGTGTATTTATGCATTACTTATTTATCGCTCTATATATATGCATACATATTTACAAATAATTTACTAAATGTATTTGGACAAAATCCCCACTCTCTAGAGACAAGACAATAGAATATATTAGAGGTAGTTATTTAAATAAATTATAGCGTTTAAATGAAATGCACAAATAATATAAAATAATATTATATATTTAACCAATGAAAATTATTATATTTATCATGTTGTATCAATATTTTAAAAATAAAAATATGATTTAATGTGATACTTATCTTTCATTAATTAATGGCGTAAGTATATATATTTTAATTTTTAAAACACAATTAATGTTTAAAAATTTATTTATAAATAAGAAAAATGTTGTATTTGCAATATAAATTAATTTTATCATGTTAATCAATAATGATCATATATTTTTTAAGTTAGATTTATAATTTTTAATTATTTATATAATATGATAATATGATATATTTTTATTGAATGTAGTGTATCTCTATTAAATTTTTAAAAATTAAAAATTAAAATAATTCTTTTTTAAAATTAAAAAAAAAATTCAACATTTTAGAAAACTAACAAGTCAATAATCACCATTACTTTTAATTTCATAATAATATATTTTTTTAATATATTAAAACACTAATGTATGTAGTCTATATATAATTTAGATACATTATTTATTTACTAAATTTTAAATAAAAAAATATTTTATTAAAAAGACAATATGCAATATAAAATATTTTCTTTTTTGGTATTAAAATTCCCAAACAAAGTTTGACTAATACTATAACTCCAGTTTTCAAAAAAGAAAGTAGTGTAATTTCTAGAAGTAGAAAAATAAAATAAATAAAAAACCGTAATTTCTTCGTCAAAGTACCAATCTTTTCTCTTTCTCAGTTTCTGCAATCATTCATCACAAGAAACATATCATAGATCTCTCTTTCAATCATTCCAAATTCTATTTCACAATTCAATCCCTAATTTTCTAGGGTTTCCGATCTTTCACTCTTCTTCTTCTTCTTCATGTTTTTCTCTGACCTAAATTAATGGCGTCGATTCGACGGACGCTATCTCCGGCTTATCACGACCGCAATCACTACATAGATACAGTATTTTCGTCTTCCTCTCCGTCACACAAACTTCCTTCTTCAAACGCTAATTACTCTGCTTTAGCGTCGTCGTTTCAGAAATTAATCGGTAGCGTTTTCATGCGACGCTACAATCGGAAGGGACAATGGCGAAGAATTGCTTACAGGTGCGTGCTTTTCTTCTTCGCCGGGATTTTGTTAGGAATTTTCCCTTTTGGTAATCTCATTCATGATATTCCTCATCAACGTAACGAGAATATTAATTTCGATATCAAGACTCCTCACGCCGACGACGCTCAATTAGTTCTCGATGCTCGTGTTCCGGGAGAGCGCGGCGGCGGCGGTGGCGGTGGTGGTGGTGGTGAAGATACTGGCTTCGTGATTGATCCTGTGAGTTTGAGCTTGAGGATGAATGATGAGAAAGTGAAAGTGAAAGCGAGGGATTTGGTTGAATCTGAGAGGGTTGATTTTGTGACGAGGAAGCAATTGATTGTGGTGACTCCGACTTATAACAGGGCTTTTCAGGCATATTTTTTGAATAGGTTAGGGCAGGTTTTGCGTTTGGTGCCGCCGCCGGTTTTATGGGTGGTGGTGGAAATGAATTCTGCTTCTATGGAGACTGCTGAGTTGTTGAGGAAAACGGGTGTGATGTATAGGCATTTGGTGTGTGGCAAGAATTCAACTGATTTGAAGGATAGAGGGGTTCATCAGAGGAATACAGCGTTGGAGCATATTGAACATCATAGACTTGATGGGATTGTTTATTTTGCTGATGATGATAATGTATATTCTCTTGAGTTGTTTCAGACAATTAGAGATATCAGGTACTACTTATTCTGTTATTAGTGGGCTTTTGCTTTGGATTTATACTTAAATTGAGTTTTCTTATTGATGGGTTTGGTTTGCATATGATTTATTTTGAGTTATGTTGCTTGTTTTGGAGATGTGGTTGTTGCAATTGTTGACAAAACTGGTTGCATTTTGTTTGTTGGATATTGTTGGTACCACTGGCTTTTTGGGGTTTACTTGATGTGAGCTAATATTTGGAATTTGTGAGATTGTGTTTGTTGCCTTTTGTTTGTATTTGGATTGTGTGCCTTAAGTGTCAACTTCATAATTTACTACCGAGAATTTATATTTCTTGAGAGGAATCAATGTGGCCAAAATTTTTGTTCTCTAGGGATCAATTTGGGGTTTGCATTCTCAAGGACTAACGGGTTTGCTGTTAAAAACTCCAAAATTGTAATGTTTTGATTTAAATGATTACATATACATGATTAAATTTGCACCTTCTTTTTGGGTATAAATTTGCACCTTATTTTTTGGTATTCGCAAGCTTGTCTTGTTAATGAAGTAGTTGCATCTGTCCTTTGTCACATTAGCATGTTCAATTGCTACTTCTTTTTTCCTTTATAAATCTTGTTTTCACCTTTTCCTTCATAAATTCTCGAAAACATGAAATCAGATGAAAATAAGATAGCATGATAATGTTTGTAACTGCTAGTAATTAGTAATAACATACTGACCAAAAATGACAAAAAATACACATCCTTATGTTTTCCCCTTTTCAAATTCATGTTTAGGAGAAAGGTAGGTTGCTCCATTCCATGGCTAAGGCAGGTCACATGCTTCAATGGAGGTTCATAGTGAACAGGCCATTGTTCAATTTTACCTACTGAGCCAACCATCTTTGACACTTATGTTTTCCCTTTTGATTGTTATGTCTTTACTTCATTTTCCTTTGATTATGAAATTGAATCAAAATTGACTTTGCAAATACCTCTTTCATGATTAAATAAATTCAAGTGTTTGGAGCTGTAAATGTTGTGAGTTTTATCTGTTGGGTTTTTTACATGTGAAACATTATTATGATGTTTTCATGTCAACAACTCTGTTTTCCCAGCCATTCTGTACATCATTCAACTTTTACATGCCCAATTGTCCCTCTATAAATTGTGTCCTCCAACTTGTTCATTCAATTCCTAATCCTATGGCTCTAATGTTGACTGTGTTTTATAGTCGTTTTGGCACTTGGCCTCTCGCCATGCTTGCACCAAGCAAAAACAAGGCTATTTTGGAGGGTCCGGTATGCAATGGAAGCCAAGTGATTGGGTGGCATACAAATGAGAAAAGTAAAAGACTTCGTAGATTTCATGTTGATATGTCTGGATTTGCATTCAACAGCTCAATCCTGTGGGATCCCAAGCGGTGGCGACGCCCTACTTCAAAACCTATACGGCAATTAGACTCAGTGAAGGAGGGTTTTCAGGTATGCCTCCTATCGTTACTTATTTGCTCCAACCCCATTTCACCTGCAATTCTTATTATCATTAAACTGATAATACCTTTAACTTTTACAGGAGACCACCTTTATAGAACAATTGGTAGAAGATGAGAGGCAAATGGAAGGTTTGTCTGCTGGTTGTAAGAAAATAATGAATTGGCATCTCCATTTGGATGTTCATAATGTAGTTTATCCAAAGGGTTGGATGCTTGAGAAAAACCTAGATGCTGTCATTCCCATCAAGTAATCCTCCATCAATTCTAGAGTGTGTGATAGGTATGGTCAGATTTGTAATGTGGCATAAAGAATGTTATTTGTAATTCTTAAGCAAATGCAAAAGCAATTCTCAGTTTTGTTAAGTGGTGCTATAGAAATATAATGTCGATAACTTGGAAAGTTTGTCTCATTATAGGCTGTTGTAATTGTAAGATATCCTGTCATCCTTAGCCCCCATCCCTAAAAGAGAGAGAAAAGTTTCCCCCGTTGTTTGGGGCCCTGCAACAACCTGAAACTTATGTAGCTTAAGAAATTTTTATGGATTTTAATGGGATACCAAATTAACTTATCTTTTGTTCATGACAGTTTGCCCATATTTGGTACTGGTCCAGCACTGAATAGATGGGTGCATCAGTTAGCCACCATTGGCACTAATGCTATGTTGCCCAGCAAGACAGAAACAGGTTGTTTCCCAAATTTTCTTGCACATAATTGTTTGCAGTGGAAATTTTTTGTTGTTGTAAAGTTTGCTATTGCCACCTTTTGTTCTTTTAGAAAGAAATCCTCTCCAAAGGAGAAAAAGAATTGTTTAAATCAACTTGTTTGATTATCAGTGTTGTATACAGTTATGTAGTCGGTGGACGATTCATTCCAATGACTGATATTGATGTCTCGACCACCAAAATATGCAGAGGGCATTTTCTAAAATGTACTTCACTCGCCCTACAGTGTTGTTTTCATTCTTTGAATATATGACATTCTTCCAATAATTGCTTAATTTGATAAACATATATCTACATTGGCGTGTAGCATTGTGTACCATCATCATACATGCTACACAATTTGTTTTGGACTAAAATTCAGTTTTCTTTAGGCATGAAAATTATTAGTTGGAAGCATAAAGTTGAACATGTGTTGCATTTGAAGACTGGCAGGAAGTGATTATTTAATTCACATGTGTTGCTTGCCTACTTTGGAAGTTTGGTGCAAAATCAGACCTGATTCAGTTAGTTAGAGTGTGTTTTATATTTACACAAGTGCTAAATAGGCCATTGTAATGGCAGCAAAGCTGACTCAAAGGTCATTATTAGTGGTGAGGTTTAGCCTCAGTTTGGTTGTGTTTGTTTCCTCTCATTCACCCTCATAGTCTTCTCATGAGTGTTTGTTCCTAGATTACTTTAACCCTCACAAGACTTATCCTCTCCGGTCACTATTATATTCAAACTTCACTTTTTTGGTTCATTCAATAATTAATATATATAGATTATATGTGGATTAGATACATGAACCAAAAAAGTTGTTTATAAAAGTGACCGGAGGGCGTAAGTTTTATCTCCCACTCTTTGACTCTTAAATGAGGCAAAGATTTCCTAATCGTGATCTTTTTTTTTTTAATTTTTTAATTTTATTTTTTTATCTTTCAAGTCTCCCAACCAATACTTTGTTCCCCTCTCTAGTTCTTTTCCCTCAATCCCTATAATCTTTTCATCAAATCTTCTTATAAACCCCATTCGGCTAAACCAATTCCACTTTTTCTCTTTCTACAACTAAAGCATAACCTGTTCTTGTTGCTTGTGACTCTGTTCCATCAGTCTTCAACTCAGGTGTCCACCTCCTCTTTTTTAAGTTCATCTGTTCAAACAACACATCTTCACAACATGCATCCTATCAAATTATAATTAACACCAGTATTACCTTTCCCCGCTATCATCTGTTTGTTTCTCTCGTTCTCGTACACTTTGAGCTAGAAAGTGTTAAGCAAGCTCTAAAGAGTCATAAATGGCTAGCTGTTATGCCAGAAGAGTTTACTACATCACAAAAGAACCAAACCTAATGTCTTGTTCCCTTTCTTGGGAAGTATAAAGCTTGTTTAGTAATTAAGAGTTTCCATCAAATCCATCGTTTTGATTTTAGTGAAATTTACACGCAGTCATTAAACTTATCACTACAAGACTCGCCCTATGTTCATATAGTACTAAATACACATCAATAAATAAATGATAAAAATAGTATTACCAAATAAATTAATTTAGAGAATGTAAATATGCGAAATGACAGCTTAGTAAATACCTTAGTGCGAGGAAAAAGATAACGAGATATTCATACCTTATAAAAGAGGTGCAATAGTTTTGTACACTTTTTTTCTTACCCTTGGTGTCTCCAATGGTTGCCATCACAATTAACACGAATTGCAAAGCCGCCAATGATTAATAATCTGCAAAACAATAAATTGTAAATAATATCTGAGGCAATTATCCTCCAAAGTACGATAAACCTTTCTTAAGTGATAGAGATGACGGAGCAACAGAAACCAAACCAAGCAATGTTACCCAAAAAGTAAAATTAATTTTCAATGGTGGAGAGATTAAAAGTATAATGTAAACACCCTTTTTCTTTGATCAGGGAGTAACATTGTTTTATCATATCTTGTATTCAAATTAATGCATAGCCTTCCTTTCTCAAAGTGTTGTATTCACCTTTGAAATAAAGTAGCCATAAAAATAGGGAGGTTTGACCGGAGTTAGTTTTACTTGGTCAAAGTAGCAATCGTGAAAAAAATGCACTCAACATAAGTATTATTTTGTCATTTTTATTTCACATAAAAATGCATTTTTATTTCATTGATTGAAAAAACAACAAAAGGTAATAAATATTCTTATGGGATCTTTGTACATAATTTTTTTTTAGGTTTTTGGATAAACATTTTAATAAAAAAAAGTAATATTTTGAAAAGTTTTAAATAATTTGATCAAAATCTATTGGTTAGGATGAAAAATATGGACAATTGCTAAAATGATGTAAATTTACGAAGTATTTTATATAAGATAAATTTAAAGAATTTTAAATGACATCAAAAAGTAAAGAATTTGAAATTGTTCATTCACTTTTATGCTAAATTGTTTATTATTAATTTTTTAAAATTTGTAATATGATCCTCATATGAAAATTTTAAATTCACAACCAAAATTTTTAAAAAATTGTAAATAAATTTTTAATAACTTTTAAGTTTTATAAATAGGTCTCTTTAAATTTTTAAAATTTATAAATTGATCCTTACTTTTTTTGGCCAAAAAATTTTAAAATTTATGAAAATTATTCTAAATTTTCTTACGATAAATTATTTTAATATTTAATTCAAAAAAAATACTTTAAAATGAATGAATTTAAAATGAAAATTTTGATATACTTTTATTTTATAAAGAAGTATAAGATCAATTAAATAAAAAAAAGTAAAAGAGTTACATCTGCACTAATGACGAGTATATCTCTTTTAATCAGTTTTTGTGAGAAAAATGTATTATACATGAAGCAATTCCTCCTTATTCTCCTAAATTTAATAATGTGTTTAGCATACTATTTGGAAAAAAGTTATGTTGTCAGATCCTAAAAAATGAAATGAATAAATAGATTCTGAGATCTTTATTTATTGGTTATGCTAAAATAGTGTTATATGTAGTTTTTTTTTCCTCTTAAAAATAATGTGTTTTCTTGTAACACTTTTGTTGTAGAAATTAAAATTTTGAAATATCTCTCTTTCAAAGTAACTTTTGTACCTCTTGAAAATGTTGTCAATCAACCTTATTTAAGTCCTCCTAGCATAATTAGGACAGAAACTAGTAGGTGATAGTTTATAGCTTAAAGTTGATGGTTGATAGCTGATAAGTTAATTTGAGTGTTTGGTAAATTAGTCGTTATACTAGTTAATAATTACAAAATGACCTAAAAGAATATTTTTAAGTAAGAAATTTGTGATTTCATTATCTTATTATATTATATTATTAAATTAATTTTTATTCAATAAAAATAAATGTATTAATAACAACATGCAAAACAACTTTTATATATATAAAAATTGAAGGTATCATCAAAATATATACATTTGTATATAAGTTTTATGAGCTTTACTATTCATTTTGAATATATTTGCAACGAAATTCAATTAATAAAAGAACTAGCAAACCATACATGAAACATAGGTATTTCATAAAGTCATTTATGAAGATATAAAAGTAAAAGTTGTTAAATATGTAATTCATTGTTTTAGAAAGATTGTATTTGATTTAGAAAGATTAGATTATATATTTTTGGACTTTTATAGTTTGGGCTTTGACTTGGGGTGCAAGCTAACCTAAATCTATAAATAGGGAGAAACTCTTATTTTGTAAACATCACATCTCATCATTTTTTGTAATTCACGGTTTGCATTTGCAAGTGAAATAATAGAATTTCCACAATTTGTGGGCAGAGAGTTCTCTGCAGATAATTGTTCATCTTCTTCTCCAACGTGTACTTTCTTTCTTTCTTTCTAAACTTTTCTTTCATTATCATTACGTGAGTTGAAACAATCCTGAGATCAAGATTGATTGAGTGAAATTCTCCATAGGTTGTGGTTGAATTTCTAACGTTTGGTACTAGAGCTCCGGTTACGATTCAAAGAAGGAAAATCGTGACGACGATGAATCATCCAAACGGCCACTTTCCGAAAAACCTTTCAATTCTCAAGAAAGATAATTATGAGAATTGGTGCAAACAGATTAAGGTGGTTTTCTGTTATCAAGATCTTTGGAAACTTGTGAAGGGAGGAGTAACACCGCTTGCAGAAAACGCGGCGGATCAAGAAAATGTTGCATTCAAAGAATTGAAGAAGATTATAAAGCTCTCTATATAATCCATCAATGTGTAGATCTAGATAATTTTGAAAAGGTTAGTGATGTAGAATCAGCGAAGGAAGCGTGGGAGATTCTTGAAAAGTCGTTTGAAGGCGCAGAAAAGGTGAAAGAGGTTAGGTTACAAACTCACAAGAGAACCTATGAATTGCTTTAGATGGAAGTGTTGCACCCCAACATTTGACCAACATTTATTTACCCATCAAGTGGTTGAAAGTTGATACCTTCATCAGAAAGTTCAGGAGATCCTCAGAGGAATTGGTTGAAACCAAAGTTGTGTGCTTCATAGCTTGAAAGTTGTGGGGACTCCTCAGATGATTCTGAGACTTTTGAGAATGAACTTGAAGCTTTGAGAAAGGTTATG